GCTATATCCACCCTGAAGGTTAATCTTGGACAATATCTGACGATTGACTCTTTTAAATGAAACCAGAGAGAGGTATAAGGCTGAGGTTCTTCTTCCATGAAGCAGCTCTGTTGTCCTCCATCCATATTTTCAGCTACAGGCTGAGTCATTTCTACCTTCTCCTCTCTGTCAACGCTCTCTGGTTTCATTTAAAAGAGTCAATCGTCAGATATTGTCCAAGATTAACCTTCAGGGTGGATATAGCTCGCTAGCAGCCTTGTTCTGATGATCTAGTTGATGTCATCAACTTCCCAGAATGCTTTGCATGTAAATAAAATGGCCTCGTCCGTGTAATATATTTTTAAACTTTTAGTTTAAAAAAGATAAAAACTGAACATCCGACAGTATTTTTACAGTCTTTATTTTACAGTTAAAGTATATGTTTATCATATAAAGTCTAATGTTAAAGCTAATCGGGGATCCCTTTTAAGGTGGTTTTTGGATTTTTCGAAAAAGATTAATGTGCAAAAGGGGAGATGGAAACACATTTGCTGAATAAGTTCAACAAAGTGAACATTTACCTTACAGGATTGATCAGCTGTTCCCGCTGTCTGTCCGGTACTGCTACCACTGTGGCTGTGACTGCAGCTGGGCCCTCCTCCCGCTGTCAGCGTCTTCTCAGATATTTCTGTAACATGAAGATAATAGCATTTATTTTTCAAAGCATGTAACATCTCCAAATACTAGCTAAGAGATGTTTTTTCCCATTTGCAACAAGTAAAACACATTCCCTTCGAATTTTTAGCGAACTGTTAAAATGATGCAAAAAGGGGGTAAAAAAAAGAAAAATGTACATCAGATGTGTTTCCATCTACTGGCTTGTGGCAAATCAGTCATGGCTGTAGTAAACAGGAAGTAAAGCTGCAAACTCGCAGGGATACAGTTCTCTAAAGCACAATARCAGTATTAAAAATTGCTAACCATAATCGACAGATTTTCTGACATTTTCTGTCAAATAATTTCAGTAAATGGTGCAACACACACTAGAACCTGCTTATCTTATGCAGGAGCAGTAACTGGTATTTGGTAGGAATATATTCTTCAGCTAGAAGTGTATTGAGATTGATGAAACATTACAGATCCATTGAATTTATTACTGGCCTTTTATATATTTCTTTTTATATTAGTCCTTGCAACTTATCACCTCTTGGTGATACTTTATTAAAGACAGATCAAAATAAAAAAAAGGAGGATGAGTTTAAGCATGATTAAGGGGTTCTCTCAAAAGTAACTGTACCTTGTTCTTATTTAACATTGGTATTTTTTTTATTGTTCAGTAGCAGGCATTTTCAGCAAACAGCCAYAATTGAATGCCAACAGGGCAAATAATCTCAAATGAAAGGTAGGAAAAAGGTGAAAATGTCTACATGATTCATTAATGGACAGGGCCTCAATTTTAACAAATTACAATTCACTTTGWACGTGAAAACTAGGCCTGTTGCAATGAGCAATAAATCAATTTATCGYACARTAAAATTAGGTTTATCATTTTAATTTGSCTGCTTGTTTTCTTCWTGTCTCCCTCTTTTCTACTCCTTAACATKGGGAGGRGTGAACTGACGCATCMGGTATTTGCCTGGTGCATGGTCTCGTAGCCTCTGTTGCATTAGAGCCCAGTCAACAGGCATTCAGGTAGAGGAGCGTCTTCGGTTTTCAGATGCCTTCTTCCAGCTTGCGACAACTCAGGACRCCTTCTGAGCACTGTGCCAAACCTGGGGTTAACTGAATATTGTTTTTTTGTTTTACACTACGTAAATGTCGCAGCATGCATGTGACCTTGATTTACTGGAGTCAGAGGAAAATGGATAAAGAATAAATTGTGCCAGCTTGGATAGAGGTGGGTAGYGATGTTACAGTTTCAGCAGCTGATAAATTATATCCATTTAAAATGGTCTCCAAACAATATAATCATTTATCGCAATAATTTGAGACAGTTTATCGTCCAGCAAAATGTSTTATCGTGACGGGCCTACTGAGAACTCATTACCTTTTCAATTAGGTTGCAACCTTCCTTTTTTCTTATTTAAACATCTGCCAATTGGTGGGAAGCAGTGCCAGTGGTGTTTAACAAGCAGCCACTGACCCATCAAAGCCATCTTTGGCACTCCCAGCYGACTGTTTATAAGATCCTAAAGTGACAGTTACGAGTGCAGCAGAAACRGCAGAAGGGACTAGGACAATGGTCTTGTTACTTCAAAAGATCCACCTTCAAACATTTAATAGTGTGTCGGCTGTAACTCTTATCACTCCTCATCTGTGCGTTATTTCAGTCATAACTTCAAACTTTTTGCGTAGGGTGGGCAAGATGGGAGGGGAGGGTTAAAGGGAGAGCAACTTAATTTTCCAACTCAAAAGGACAGAATGAAACCTTTAAGTTAATATTACCCTGTGAATAGCTCGGCGAGCCAGCTGCATTTTAATGGGGATTAATACCCAGGCTCTGTCAGCACATTATTCACCTTTTATCAGCTCCAACAAGCAGGAGGGCAATGAGAGTGTAGAGTCCCTCTCTCCCTCTTTTGCTTTGTAGGATGGAACAGAGGCTGAAACAATGCAGTGAAAATGAAGGATGAAATGAGTGCCGATTATACTGTCAGTCACATTAAAGTTTAACTGGGTGGAGCCCCCCCTTCCTCCGAGGCTCCGGTGGGTACAGATGGTAAAGAATGAGAAAGAGCAGCAGTTCTTTCTTTTGATTATGTAGAGGCCATCTGAGGCATAAACGAGCCTTTGTTTTACAGACGAGTTAAGGCTTTAAAAGTCCTAAATGTCAAAGCTAAAATATGATGTCTRAGAAGTTTGTGCCTTTTAAAGAAATTGATTTATTTTGTACAAGAGCATGCAGTGGTTGGAAGTTAGGACATCATTAACCAATGGGTAATTTACTTATTAGGATATTAGTAGTACTAATCTTACATTTGCAAAACAGAGTGAATAACGTTTTAGCTGTGACRTTGGAGACATGGCATCAGCAGTTTTTGTTAAGCCTGTTGAAATTGTCTCTTTATTTTTCATATTAATTGTATCACAGTAAACAAAATCACATTTAAAACGGTAAAAACTGTATATATTCTTTGTTTTTCAGTGTGTTTTAGCATTAATGTCTTCAAAATAAACAGCAAGCCTTGACACAAAATGTTTTCCTCTTAAGTAGCTTCAAATGCGTCACACTTTTCTGAGGTGACGAAACCAAGTTTCAGTTGTGTTTTAGTTGTTTTTTGTGCTACAATGAAGTCCATTAGATTTCCTCTGAAATCTAGCTCAAAGCCACACAATTGGTGATTTGTGCATCATACCACACTTAAGTCAGTAAATCATTTTGTTTTTGTGTGAAACTGGATTTTCCTCTTCCTGGTTGAGGGATTATTGGTAATAAAGGAAATGTTTCCATAATTGGTTTAGAATATATTTACAGAAGATTAAGAATGCAGTGTATACAGAAACCTAAACATGAGTACTTGACTTATACACTAAAAGTAACATTTTATTTTATTTTTCTGCTGTATTTAAGATGTCGCTTTTCCGTTTAAATAAAAAATTGAATATTATTCATTTGTAAATTGTACATTACATCGCTCTGTGATGGTTTTTCCGAAATATTAGCACAATAAGACTACTGGATTGTTAACTTGGCTATTTTCAGAGTTTAGTAAAAAAAAAAAAAAAGAAGAAGTGTGGAACCGGGGATAATAACATGACCTTCAGTATCCTCAGCTTATTACTATCCAACATCTAGCTCCTGTTTGTTGCTTGACAATACATTCCAGATACCTTCATCAAATAGTTTTAAAGCAATTCACCAAGATTTGCAGACAAGTTTGTTTTTCCACCATGTACCATAGAAAACATTTCTGCTCTATGAAGTTATCTTCACTTTTTTTTTGGCAAAATGTTTTAATCTAAAAATTATTCATGGCGGTCAGTGGTGGGCAGCGCTGTTTCAAAAGTTAGTTCCACAAATTTTAAACCGGTAAATGTTTTCTTTAGTTCCGCACTTTCTAAAGCACACATGTCATAAATATTTTAGTGGAAGCTAAATAGATCCGCAACTCTGGCTCAATTCATCAGAATACATATGCTTCCAGTGATAACATGAGCCATTCTTGCACAACCCTGCCGTCTTGTGGCAGAATGGGTTGCTCTCAACCCAACTTGCATCTTGTCGCGGTTTCAGGAAGTCATTTATACAAACAGATGTTTGATTCATGGTGTTAATTTAAAATAAAAAATTTGTTGTGGACTGCAAGTTTTGCTGCTTCTTGATCATTTATTTTTCTTATGTTTATGGCTTCGGTAAGAAAGCGTATGCACTATTAGTCATTTTAAACTGTTTCTTGGAGAGCTGAAGCGATGCATTCTGGGTAAAGGACCAAGTGGAACCCGTCATTTCAAAATAAGAGCCTGAATTTAAACTGTGCCATGTGTTGCTTGCTTCAATACAACGTGACGTGAGACAACAGGTTGATTGGTGAAGATTCAGCGTGTCATAAATTATTAATGTCTTCCTCTACCCTCTCAAAGCTCAAATAAGTAAATAAACAACAATAATTATGGGTGGATTGTTGGGGAAACTTTTATTTTTTTGTTAACGGTGGGTTATAGAGAAAAAGACATGACAATCATCTGAATAGGAATAAACCAGCTGTAGCTCTTTTAACAACTGGCCTCAGACAAAAAAATCATTTTAAACGAATATAAATAACATGAATTAGCTGCTGGAGCCTTTTCTCAAGCTTCCCTCGTGTGTGTGTGTGTGTGTGTGTGTGTGTGTGTGTGTGTGTGTGTGTGTGTGTGTGTGTGTG